AGCATCAAAGTTCTGATGCAGCAGAACTATGTTCTGTTTATGGAGTAGCTTATCGGTCACAGAGTTTTTTACGGACAGTGTGTTTATGTTATGTGCAACCTTTGGCTGTATCTTGGTCATATGGTCAACGTACTCGCTACGTGGAGGCTTAAAAATTGACAAATTTTTAAGCCAATAAGTCCTTGACTTATTCGAATAATGGTGTAATTAATCAGCATCTCCTCAACATTACTAATCTTTGTGAATTAGATGTGTGCCTCCAGGGATTTATAATTCCTAAATTGATTAGCAGTGTATGCGCTGACTCCACAGACAAGGTACGCGAAGAAATCAGGACGGGACAACGGCGGTAGGTGGTCTGGGATTTCGCTCCACTGCCTTATTCCATACGAGTCCACATTACCGATGCACGCTATTTTTTCCAAGTATCGCAACCGGTCACGATACAGTCCTTTGTCTTTTACGCTGATTTAAAGCGTGGTTCTGGCAGTCCTGCTTCCAACACAGTGTGTTTGTTTTGATTCGTGGCGCGCTTCCACAATGCATTGCAGGAGCAGGCGGACCGGCAGACCCAGGTTCTGGAGCGGCTGATTGGAGCCACTGCGCCGCCGAAGGCCCCTCCTACGGTGGCCCCTAGACACAAAACACATGCAAACTCCAAAACACAATAGAAGTGCTCCAGGACGCTAGGGGCAGTGTTGAGCTCTTGTTACCTAGTAACTACACAAGCCAGGAAGTACCAATGACCGGATTTGGTGTGTGGTAGTAACAGGTAAATTAACATTTTTTAAAATTATTTGAATATATATGAGTATGGTTGTTCTATCTTTGTGGGTGTTTTCCACTGGTATCCAACTCCATGACTGTATCCCAAAGCCGCATTTTAAGGTACAATTCAAACGCTGCTCGAAATGCAGTGGCCAAAGAGTAAACTTGTAAAAGTACTAAATATTATGTCACTTAGTTTTTTGCAAATGTTTAATAATGAAGAACATTAAAACATTACTGTTGGCTAAATGTCGGGAAAGTTATGTGTCATTAGCGATGTTTGTACTAACTTGGTTTTAAAGCCTTTACTTCAAAATATACGCCGTTCAATAGTTGACCTGTGTTTGAACGAGCTGACGTTTCACT